GTGGGGGCGGGAGCGATGGTCATACCCCACCCCCTCATTATTATTGTAATTTACTGCAGCGCTGGGCCTGCACCCCGGGCCCTCGGACAATCCCTGCGCTCCCTCCCCCGGTTCCCGTCCCGCCTGCAGTCCCAGGCCTTACCCGCCGCCGATATCGCCGCCGCTCGATGCCGGTGATCCCACCCCCTACGGCCGGTCTTTCTGGGCAGGACCAATCAGAAATGCACATTGTCCGGCTGACGCAATCCCCATCCTGATTGACGGCTTCTCTAGCCAATAAACATCCAATATTCTGCAATGATGTCATGATGCTATAACGGACAGTTGTATCATCCATTCACGTGGCAATACTGTTGGCCGGGTGGGCCAATAGACGAGCGGTATTGCGTTGGCGTGCCGCCCACTCTGCTCGTCAGCGCCTGGAGTTAATCATCTGCCTCAACCGGAAAGAACCTGTGCCCGATTGGTGAATGATGTAGCCAATCAGAGGCTAGGCATGCATGAGGTTGTCCCGCCCATTAGTGGAGACACATTCTGGCACATGGGGACAATAACAAAGACACCTGCATTTGTGTAGCGACACATCGCTTCTCAAAGTATTTCACAATCAATGAACTACGTTTGTAGTCCAGCCACTGCTGTAATGGAACAAACGCAACAACCTATATGTACACAGCAAGCTCCCACAAATAACAATGTGATTTAAAACCACTGGCCACTTTTCAGCCCAAGCCTGGAGATGCTCGTGTTGGGCTGGGGTGGACAAAGTCGGAAGTCACACTACACCAGGTCATAATCCAACAGGTTTATTTGAAATCATACAAGCTTAAGGAGTGCACTGCACCTGACCAAGGGCTGCGCTCCGAAAGCTTATCTGATTCCAAATAAACCTCTTGGGCTATAACCTGGTGTCATGCAACTTCGACTTTGGATATTTTCAAGGATTTGCTGCATTTGGACATTGACTGTTTTTGCTATACCAACAAGTAAAAGTTGTTCCACCTACTTCAATCTTCCCTAATGCCTGCCAAATTCTAATTCCAGAAGCAAATCACAGTAGGGTAGAAAGTGTCAAGGTGGATTGTGTGCTGCCAGTCATTCAGCTCCTTACCCTACATAAGGAGAGGATCCTGACTTTGACTACACCAAGCAGATCCAGGACTGCTATATGACACTGCCTTTACCTGACTGTGCTGGAATGACATGGCCAGACAGTAGTAATATGAGCCTGGTGAAGCTAATGTAATATTCTTGATGAAGAAGGGAGGGGGCAGAAGACAGTAAACTCTAGGCCAGTAAGCCAGAGCTTAGTCATTGATAAGATTTTAGAGTTTATTATTAAGGATGAGATTACAGAGTATTTGGATGTGCAGGGTAAAATAGGGCTGAGTCAGCATGGCTTCATCAAGGGGAGGCCATGCCTGACAAATGTGGTAGAATTCTTTAAGGAGGTAACGAACAAGTTAGACAAAGGAGAGCCAGTGAACGTGATCTACCTGGATTTCCGGAAGGCCTTTCACAAAGTCCTGTACAGGCAGCTGCTGAACAAGATAACAATGTTAGGAGCAAGGTACTGGCATGGAGAGAAGATTGGCTGACTGGCAGAAAGCAGAGAGTGGGGATCAAGGGATCTTATGACAGATAGCGACTAGTGGAGTTCCACAGGGGTCTGTGTTGGACCACAACTATTCAGGTTATACATTAATGATCTGGACAAAGGAACTGAGGGTGTTATTGCTAAGTTTGCAGATGACACAAGGATAGGTGGATGGACAGGTACATTTTGAGGAAGCAAGGAGGCTGCAGAAGGACTTGGACAGGCTATGCAAATAGGTAAAGAAGTAGCAGATGGAATACAATATGGGAAAGTGTGAGGTTATGCATTTTGGTAGGAAGAATAAATGGATAGAATAAGTTCTAAACAGGGAAAGGCTTTGGAGATCTGAAGCACAAAGGAACTTGGGAGTACTAGTTAAGGCTGCATGTGGCTCTACTCAGACTTCATTTGGAATATTGTGAGCAGTTTACTGCCCTGTATCTAAGGAAGAATGTGCTGGAGTTGGAGGAATCCAGAGGATGTTTACAAGAATGATCCCAGGGATGAAGGACATGTTATACGAGGAACGGATGAGGACTGTGGGTCTGTACTTGATGGAGTTTAGAAGGATATGGGGAGAATCTGATTGAAACTTACAAAATACAGAGACGCCTGGGTAGTGTGGATGTGGAGAAGATGTTTTCACTATTAGGAGAGAGTAGGACCTCAGGTACAGCCTCAGAGTGAAGAGATGACCCTTTAGAACAGAGATGAAGAATAATATTTTTCAGCCAGAGGGTGGTGACTCTGGAACTCATTGCTGCAGAGTTATATGGAGACCAAGTCATTGAGTGTATTTAAAACAGAGATAGATAGGCTCTTGATTAGTAAGGGGAATAAAGGGCTACAGGGAGAAGGTATGAGAATGGGGTTGAGAAACATATCAGCTATGATTGAATGGTGGAGCAGACCTGATGGGCTAAATGGTCTAATTCTGCTCCTATGTCTTATGGTGTTATGGCAATGTGCAAAAAGGCAAGGCAGGGATGCTATGAGCATCCATATAGGCTCAGAGTGAGTAAGTGTTTCTAAGGTTTTGGAGTAGATTTGTAGCTCGGGTTGTGGGTGTTGAGGTTGGCTGGCTCGCCGAGCTGGTTTGTTGTTCCGCAGACGTTTCGTTACCATGCTGGGTAACATCATCAGTGCCACCTCTGAAGAAGCGTCGGTGTATTTTCCCGCCTGGTTTTTAAACTCTGGAGTCCGTTGAGATGGATTGCCTCACTTCCGGTTTTCCTTCGTAGTGGAATGTATATGGGGTTGAGTTCAATATGTTTATTAATAGCATGCTTCGTGGAGTGCCGGGCTTCTAGGAATTCTCATGCCTGTCTCTGCCTAGCCTGTCCCAGGATTTTGGTGTTGTCCCAGTCAAAATGGTGGTTCTCCTTGTCAATGTGGATTGAGATGAGTGAGTATTGCTCGTGTCTTTTTGTAGCCAGTTGGTGTTCATGTACTCTTGTTGTTAGTTTCCTTCCTGTTTGTCCGACGTAGTGTTTCTCACAGTCTCTGCAGGGGATCTTGTAGATGACATTGGTCCTGTCCATGGTGGGGAGTGGGTCTTTAGTTCGGGTGAGCAGTTGTCGTAGGGTTGATGTGGGCTTGTGTTCCATTCTGATGCCCAGCAGTCGTAGGAGTCTTGGGATGATTTCCGACGTGTTCCTGATGCAGGGTAGTGTGGTGAGTGCGTCGGGGCGTGTAGTATCTTTCTGATGTTGTTCGTGTAGGCATCTTCTGACCCAGTAAGTGTTGTGTTCTAAGTAAGTGTTATGACATCAAGCTCAAGCCCAGAGATGAATTCTGGTCCAGTCTGTGAGCTAGGTGTCTGAAATGTCTTTGCTGCGATAGTAGAGTGATAGTTGCTAGTGCAGCCTGAGGTGCAAAATTGAAGCATTGGTGATGTGCCACGAGGGTTCAGAGAGGTTGGCACATGTTGAATTCCATTGTCTGAGGATGAGAGGTGTGTGGGGTGGTCAATGCCTATGGAGCGTGCCAGAGATGCTGGTTCCAGGTGCCCAACGTGGAGGTCTTTTGGAGCTCGCAGTGAATTGAACACACTAAGAACCCATTGGTTTCCATGTAGAGTTTTCCTGATGGTAGTTTGGTAAGATTTCAACTGATAGCACGTTGGGATGTTAACGAGTTCTTTAATAAGCAATAATGAGCGTCACTTGGGAACTCATCGCTGTCTCACGAGAATCTTGCCACACCACTAGAGAAAAGCAAACAAGATGCAGCAAGGTGATCTCTATATTGAGATGTTGAACATCCCACTGTAACTCATGTCACTCACAGCCTCTGGTTCTGATCAATTTCTGTGGCTTCTGCAGGTTTATTGTTAAACTGATAAACCTGTAACTTTGTGCATCTCCCATCTCAGAGGAATATTTGCAACTTTCCAATCTAGTTACAATTCCCAATTCCTGTGGTGAGGTCTGTTGCAATCAGAGTGTCACTCCTTCTCTCTGTTGAAGTTGAAGCTGACATACATATTTGTTCTGAATGGAGGTGAATCTGAAAGTAGCAGTCAGTCAGTGAACAAACTGCACATTGGAAGAGTATCAGGTGGAAGGTCTGAAACAGCAACTTGAAAGTGTCACCTTCCTGTGGTATTGGTCAGGACGGACCAGATGCAACACTTGGTTGAGGCCAACTCTTCACCTGGAAGACCCAACAAGTTTCGGGCAGACGAAAGGGCATCTTTCACTAAGTTGATTGTCCTCCAGTTGCAGTCAACGTTTGTCTCAGTATGTGTCCTTGGGTTAGCACTGCTGCCTCACAGCACCAGGCAATTTCACCCTCAGGCAACTCTCAGTGCGGAGTTTGCACATTTTCCCTGTGTCTGTGTGGGTTTCCACCAGATGCTCCGGTTTCCTCCCATAGTCCAACAATCTGCAGATTAGGGTGGATTGGCCATGCTAAATTGCCCAGAGTGTTCAGGGATGTGCAGACTAGGTGCCAGGGTAAACACAGGGTTTTGGGGATAGTGTAGGATGCTCTTTGGAGAGTCAATGGTAACAATGATGGGCCAAATGGCCTCTTTCTGCATGGTAGGAACTCTATGACAGGCAATTACATGCAATTGTATTGCGCTCTAAGTCAGTTTCAATGTATATAATTACTTGTGTGTGGTTATTATGTATGCATTTAAATCATGATTCATAAATGTCATTAAAGTGTAATCTCGTGCTGAGTGATAGCTCTCTGTTCTACCTCAGTTTGATTTCTTTTGCCCCTCCTTTCTGGTCTTTGTGTTTGTTTTTCTCTTTAATTCTCCTCCATCTTTCCTTCTGCATTTCTGTCTCTCTCTGTGACATCGAGTTCCACATTCTTCATTTGGAGATGAACCAAAGCAGCAGACTCTCAATCGCGAGAGCAAGGAGGTCCGGATGGAGAGGGGACTGAGGTCTGGATGGAAAGGGGGACCAGGATCCGAATGGAGAGGGGGAAACGGGGTGAAAGGGAGTCCTGAGAGGGAGGGTTTCCTGTTTGAACAGGGTAGGGAAATCTGGATGGAGGGAGTTTGTGGAGTCTGGATGTAGAGGGGGAAGGGTTGGGGAATCTGGATGGAGAGGGACAGGCAGATCTGAATGGAGAGGGGGAGGTGGTTGTGGATCTGGATGGAGAGGTGTGGGGGATCTGGATGGATGGGGGAGGGTGTGGGGGATTTGGATGAAGAGGGGGAGGGGGAGGGGGAGCGGGATCTGGATGGAGAGGGGGAGGGTGTGGGGTATTTGGATGGAGAG